AAATTATTTATATTTTTTGTTTAACTTATTTATTCTTTTTTTAATTAAATTTATTATAGTTATTCATAAATAATTTATTTAATATTGAATTAATAGAATATATTTTTTATAAAAATATTATCAAAAAAACTAATTAAAATAATTTTTTATTATTAAAAAGATAAGTTAATAGTATATTTATTAAAAAATAAAATGATTATATTAGTAAATATATTATATTTATAAATATTATATATATATTTATATATTATATATATTTTTAATTATTAACAATAATAATATTAAAAATATTTTATTAATTTAATATTATATTTTTTATTTATTTTTAAAAAAGTATTCTAATTAATATAATGAATATTTACTATATAATTTTATATATAAAATATTTATAAATTGATTTTATTTTATAAATAAATAATTTTTTATTTTACACATTATTTATGAAAAATTTAAACGAATATTAATTTTTAATAATTTAATACTAGAATTTTTTTTTTATAAAACAAATAAAAAATTTCTTTAATTTATAATGCTTCCTTTATTAAATCATAAATAAAAATTAATATAAAAACGTAAATAAAAAGTAGATGAAATATTCTAAAATGCAAATTTATAATCTATAAAATCTTAATTAATTTAATGTTTAGAGCCAATTATTATTGATGTATTTTATTTAAAAAAAAAATTAAATTAAAAAATAAAATAATAATAAAAGTTTCCAAAAATTGAAAAAATTATCGATTAAAACTAAAAAAAAATATTTTCTTAATAACATTATTCTCGCATAATTTAATAAGAAGTAACTACTAGTATAAATTAAGTAAATAATGATTTATAAAAAGTAATACAAGTCCAACGAGAAATGGAAAATATAAAAAGACTAACTTCATTATAAGATTTATTTGTATAGGCCGAGAAAGAGCTTATAATAGAAGAAAATAAGAATAATTATATTGAAAATAATGATAATAATTAATAAAATAAGTTTTTAAAATTAGAAAGACGTTCAAAAAATGTTAGTTTATATGGAAAAAAAAAGAATAATATAAAAAACGAAGAAAAATTTAAAAAAATGTATAAAAGCTTAATTATAAACTAGAATTCAGAATAAAGAAATATTATAAATATAAAAAAAAGAAATTAAAAAAGTGATTATATTTAGCCTTTTATTTCATTTTAATAGGTAAACTAATAAAAGGAAAATAAAAAATAAAATTAAAGTTTTAAAAATTTTATATCAATTACTTCAAATTAAAGTTCTTTTTCACTTCCTACATTTAAATTTAATTATAGTAAGTTTTTTTAAGAAAAAAATAGATAAAAAAAAGCTTATTTGTCAGTTAATAATAATAATATTAAATAAAAATAAATTAATAATAAAAACAGTTATAGCTTACATAAAAAAAATCATAAAATGCCTGTCTTTTTATAGGAAATTAAAGATGTTATTACTGAAGATTTAAAATAAACGACTAGTTTATATAATAATTTACATAAAAAAGTATTTATTAATAGTTTAGGAATGCTTTCTTTACATTAAAATATGATAAAATCAATAAAAGAATCTAAAGATTATTCTTTTAAGGGAAATTTCGAGGCTATTGCTTATAAAAAATTATCTAAAGATCCAAAGAATATATAAAATAAAGATAATATTAGAAATATTTAAAATTTAGACGATATTGTTTAAATTGCTGATCCTAAAGATTTTTTATAATAAGGACTTTTAAATAAATGATAAAGAACAAAATATTTATATATAAAATTAAATATAATTTTATTTGTATTTACTTTTTTTTTATTTATCTTTGTTAATAAATAATATATAATTAAAAAAGAAAAAAAAGAAAAAAAAAAGATATAATAAATAAATAAATGCCTCAAGATAAAGATTGCCCTGAAACAATTTGTATAAAAGAAGATCCATTAGGCAAATATAAAGAAATACATAGTCGTAAAAGCCGTCCGAAATTCCTTTAAGAAGCTGATGATGAAGAAAATGAAAAAGAATAAAGCTTTTATCGATCATGTCCAAATAATCGTTAATCCTTAGGATTTTATACATGGAATTTATTACATACAATGGCTATATATTACCCAGAAAACCCAACTGAAGATGAGAAATAAAAAATGCTTTAATTTTATAATATTTTTGCTTATTTTTATCCATGTAAACCATGTTCAGCACATTTCTAGAAAGATATAATAAACTGTAAATATAATAATAGCATTATTATATATATATATATATATATATATATATATATATATATATATATATATATATATATATATATTTTATATTATAAAAATAATAAAATAAGCTCCTCCATAAGTTGAAAGTTCTGAAAAACTAAGTATTTGGCTATGTAATTAACATAATAATGTAAATAAATGGTTAGGAAAGGAAATGTTTGACTGTGATTATGAAAATTTATAAAAAAGATGGAAAACAGGATATGAACATTGTACTTCGGATTAAAAATTACATTGACAAAATTAAAAAATTAAAAAAATCTTTTTTTATTAAAATCTATATATATATATATATATATATATATATATATATATATATATATATAGATTTTAATTATTTTAATATTATTTATTATTGTATATATATATAGAAATATATACATATTATTTATTTTTTTTATAATTAAAAAATGTTATATATGATAATTATTATTTTTTATTATAATAATTATGTTTATTTAAGATTTATATATGTATATTTATATATATATATATATATATATTTATATATATATATATATATAAATATATATATATATATATATCAAAATTCAATAATTTTCATCACTATCTTATTCATTTTCTGATGGAATATTAACATCTTATAATTACATACAAGCTCTTTCTCTTTTTTCTCTTTTTCTTTCTTCTTCTTTAAGCTTTTTTTATTTATCTAGTTATACTTTTCTAATTTTTTCTTAAATGAAAATTTTCTTTAAATGATCTTTAATAGAAGGTGGCCATTTTATATTTTTATTTGTTTGAATTTATTTATTTTTTATTTGTTATTTTTATCCTTCTTTTTCGTTAAATTTAATTATTTTATTAAGCAAATTCGATATTCTCCTTTCTATTTCTTCCAAATTATCGTTTTTAATATTTTTTAAAACTGAAATTGCCAAAATCTAGACAAATTCGAAAAAGACTAATTCTTAATTTAAAATTTCTTATATTTTTAAGGCTTTTATTTTGGAAAAGTCTGGTGTTTTTTTCCTTTAAATTTTGGCGTTTTTTTTATTCGAAAGTGAATTTTTTAATTCTTTTTCTTTCTCCTTTTCTTTTTATTGATTTTCTATATAAAAACTAGTCTCTGTATATTCAAAACCAGATTCAATATAAGAAATAAATATATCAATGTCTTAATTTTCAATAAAATTAACATTTTAAAGTATTTTTATTATTATTTTTAGATTAATAGTCTCGTCTAATATATTGAATTTTCCACGAATTTTTCTCTTATGAAAATCGAAAACTTATTTTAATAAAAAATAAGTCTTTTTTTCAATTTTATTATAAAAAGTTTATATAGTATTCTCATATTCGCAAACATTAAATTTCGTAGTTTAAGATTTTAGTTTCTTTTTATTATCAAAAAAAGCCTAAATGTACTTTACGATTATATTTTCGAGAATTTTAGGGATTTCTTCACTTTTCTTACTCTTAATATAAGCAACTCTAACTAATAAATCAACAAAATGTCTAAACATAACTACTTTTTAAGGGTCATGTATATCTTTTTTTACCCAATAAATATCATTTTAATCTTCATTGTTTATATTCTCATTATTATCATTAAAAAACAATAAATCAAGTGTATAAATATCTTTCCTTTCTTCCAAAGTAATATATTTATTCCATTTTTTAAAAACTCGAAATTAATTCAAAAGTTCTTTTTCTTCATAATGTAGAGAAAAATGATTCCTATTTCCCTAAAAAAAAGTCCTATTTAAATTAGCAATAGTTAAAGACAAATCGAGTATTTTAATATCCTTTAAAAATTTCCAAAAACAGCTCATATCCATAGAAAAAGTATATTCTTCGGCTGAATTTTCTAATTTTTAAGAATAATATTTATATGTGTTTTTTAATGTAGTATTGTGTCTTATTAAAATTGTGAGTATTTGATCTTTTATTTATTACGGATACTACATATTAATATCTAAATCGGAAAAATCAATCATTTCTAAAAACGGGTTTTCCTATATTTCCTCTTTTATTTCTTTTATTTCTTTTATTTTATTTTTATTATCTTATTATTACTATTATTACTATTATTACTATTATTACTATTATTATTATATTTATTATTATTAACTTACTACAGTTGATTTTTTTTTAATACTATTATTTGAATTATTTATTTGTTATTATTATTAATAAGAATTTGTTTTTTCAATCTTAGATATTGAAGTATTAGTTTTTAACTTTATCTTATTTGGTTATTCTAATTTTTAGCTTATATCGCTTTAAGATTTATCTTATTAAATCTTCTGTTATTATTAAACAATTTTCTTCCATATTTTATTACCTTTAAAAATTCCCTATATAAATCCTCCATTATCTTCCGTAAATATAGCAAAACCTTCCTTTTAATTATCTTTCCATTCCCCTTCGTATTTACTTCCATTCGCATAATAAAATACTCCTAGTCCTTCTCTTTTCCCTTATTGCCATTATCCTTCATATCTATTTCTTAGTACTTTATTTTCGCCTTTTGGTTCTAACCAAATATGTTCTCCGTATCCGTCTTATATATTGTCTTTCCATTCCCCTTTATATTTTTCATTACAATCAATCCAATGCATAATCCCGAAACCTTCTTTTTTGTCAATAAAAAAATCTCCGTCATAAAAATTTCCGGATTTATATTTCATCAAACCTTTACCGTGTTTTAAACCATTTAAAAAATAACCTTAGTAAGTAGCGCCAGTACCGAATTCAATCTTTCCATATCCAGTCCTCTAACCTTCCTACCATTCTCCAGTATATTTTGTTTTACCATCACTGGATATATATACTCCTTAACCATGCCTAAAACCATTCATTATTTAACCTTAATATAAACTAC